GGCATGAAGATGTAGATTAAAGCAAAAGGAGAAATGGGACAAATCATTTTTGGATTTGAAAGAATTTTTTTAAGTTTTTCGAGGGCAGTTTTTCGCCGTTAAGGTTGTCTTCCGACGCATAGATTCGCTCGGGGTATTTTTTATTTGTTTGGCATGAAGATGTAGCTCTGAGCAAAAGGAGAAACGGGACAAACTATTTTGAAAAAATCGCTCCAAGAACGTTCCAAACTTCAACCAGCTTGCAGCATTGATAATTCATTGATCTCGTTTAACGCTACGTGAGGCATCCGCCACTGCACTTTGAATAATTCAATCTCTGGCTCCGTCACAGGATTTCCAACCAAGCAATTGTTATCGTTGCGCGCTCGTATCAAAATCAATTCGTGGCGTGCGTTGACGACTACGCATTTGTAATCTTCGCAAAAGCCCAACAGCATATTGAGCGGTACACAAAAATTAAAGTGTCCTTCCTCCGTGTCGGATCTAGAGTTCCATCCAGCGTTCAGCGCAATCAAAGCTTTATCGTACGTCAGTGACACATAGTTCTTGATGGTACTGGTAATTCCAACGTTTCTGTTGCGGTCAATCTTCACACCATTGAGTTAATATCAAATTTCATCAAACATGAACGCCATGCAATTATTTCCAAGCGTCGTTGATATCTGATCGTTTTTCTTCTTCACCGTCAATCTTCTTTCGATGTAGAGAAAACTGTCGCATGGCAATGTATACAAATCCTGCTGCTGTATAGGTATCTGTATCTCGTCGCTATGTCCGAACGTAGTGTTGGCATCTGGACTGTACGTGTGAGTCTCAATCTTGATGATGCGGTCGTCAAAGATCGGCTCACCGGTAATATTCAAGATGTCAACCATTTAGTACGATGAAACCCAACGACTTTAAAAATGCGACGTTGGACGCAGTGAGTTTTTTTTTTCAGGTATAATCTTTCCAGTAAAAGATGTATCTCTCGTCTGTTTCGGCTGTTCGTTCAACACAAGCATCTCACGTTAGCGCCGTCGTACGTGCAATCTAACGGTGATCTCCTCTCCGCGAAAATCAAGTAATCGAACGTCTTGGTCCACCACGCGAATAGTTAGATCCGTAATGCTCCGTACAACGATCGGAAAGTAAATGACCTGCGTCGACCTCTCCGATATCTTATATCCTGGCAGCACGCTCGGTGAAAACCTGAAAACTCGTGTATCGTGTGCACATACCTGTCGTTGCTGTACGCACCCGCGGACACGTTGCATTCGATACGAATGATGTTTACGTTGATGATATTTATCGACACGTCCGACTCGTGTCACTGTCGCGGCTCCAGCACGCGATTCGACGAAAATCCCAGGAGCGAGCCAATGTTACGAGATTTTGTAAAATTTATCCGATAGGCGAATTTGATTTCGCTTTTCATCATATTGTTGTTGGCGCAAATCACCAGCGGAAACTCTTCATCCTCCTTGCCCTTCGCATTGTGAGAACGTAAAATTTCACGCTTTAGATACCGCTCGATATCGCGCAGTTCGTACGATCCTTCGGGAATGACAATTTCCTCATCGTCATAGTAAAACTTGTTGTTTGTCGAATTTACATTGGCTAGAATATAGTACGTTTCAAAGTCTAACAGATTTACGATACCGCTCTCGTTTTGATTCCTTGAACCAGTAATGTTGTACGCATAAAGGTACCTCTAAAATATGGAATGCGCATACGGTTTGCAAGTTGTTGCAATTGCACATCGGTAGTTACTCCTCTCGGCATTTTTAACGTTTCATCGACGTTTTTTTTTTTTTCTACGCGTGATATCTTGTCCGCGCTTGTAGGGAGCAAGATAAACGCCGCGGCCTTCCATGACGCAATTATGACGTTACAGTTCTTCCAGCTGACGCTGCGCCGCTTTGCTATCGTTTACGGCCTTGGAGACTTCCGCCGCCCCGCCGACCAATGACCCGAGAACGCCGAGCAGCGGTAGAACGGGTAGGACGCCACCACGTTTCGCTGTCGGAAGAATCCTCTTGCTCTACTTCTTCTCCTTTGTTTTCAAACCCATACCAATCTTCGTTTTGATCTTTATAGCTGCCCAAACGGCTGTGGCTGCGGCTCTCTCTCTGAGAGTCGAATCTCTCGCAGTAATGCGTTTCCGTGCCTTCTCAGCGAGTATATTGTCAACCGATTGTCGTTCAGCGAGATCGTTGCAGTGCGAATACGCTATGTCGTGCTCGCGACACGCAGCATCCAATGAATTAATTCCTCGATCACCTCTAGTCAATCGCTTCTCCAATTGCGTTCCGGGGCCGTAAAACTGATATCCAGGAATATGTAGTTCAAAAGGAAGCGCGTTTATCGCACGATTTAACAAGCCTCTCAACGGCATTCGCTACAATTCTTTATCAAAGGCGCCGGATCGTCGACATACGTTTGATAAGTCGGCAAATTGTAATGCTTCAGGCACCGACGGTATCGTTGTACCTCTGAATTTGCTCGTATATGCTCGGGTAATCTATCCCACAATTGAAATCTATGAAATTTTCAAACTCTCGCAGCAGCACAATTTTGGTATATATTCCAGCTCTTTTGAAGTTAAACTGAGCAGATCGTCTGACACGACGAGAAACATTTTGATAACTGATTGATTTCGCTCTACGCGGCTCTATAATATATAGGACCGCTCACGATTTCGTTTTCAGTATTTTGTGGAAAGAGAAAACATGTGGTTCGTGCGCCAATCGCAGATGATCAAAGTGATGAATCTCGATGGCAAAGTGCAAGCCGATAAAGAGACGCGCAAGCATGGTAACATGCTACCAACCTCTGTACGCGCTGTTGTCTGTGGACCGTCAAATTGTAGCAAGACGAACATGCTGATAAGCCTGTTAGAAAGTCCACATGGTGTACGATTTGAAAACGTGTACGTGTACTCGAAATCGCTGCAACAACCGAAATATCGATACTTGACGAATCTGCTAACTCCGATCGAAGAAATTGGCTATTTTACGTTCTCCAATAACAGCGAGTCATTCCATCGAGCGAGGCACTTCCGAATTCCATCTTTATCTTTGATGACGTGGCATGCGACAAGCAGGACGCGATAAAAGAGTACTTTGCAATGGGACGGCACGCGGACGTCGATTGCTTCTATCTCTGTCAGACGTACGCAAAGATACCGAAGCACCTTATCCGCGACAATGTAAATCTGTTCAAACAGGATGGTACCAATCTGAAACGCGTGTACAACGATCACATGAATATCGACATGTCGTACGAGAATTTCTGCGATTTATGTGGTAAATGTTGGCAGCAAAAGTATGGATTTCTAGGAATTGACAAGGACAGTACGCTTACCGATGGACGATACAAAAAAGGATTTAATGACTTTGCAATACCGTGATGTGATCAGTTGACATCGATACGTTGACATGGACAACAGCAAAGATCGTGAGAAGATAGCTAAGGAGATTGCGAAAACGAGCGATTCGATTCGCAAAAAGTACCGCGCTTTGAAGACTGGTAAAATGGAGGACATCGCATTGGAGAGACACTTTAAACCTATTATCGACCCGCTGAAACAGATTGTTGAAAACACCGTTGAATCCTCCAAGGATCCTAGCATGAATGAAACATTCTTTTCGGGGGAAGACGAGGAACCAGAACTCAAAAGAAAACGAGTGAGTGCTTTGTACGACAATCCTATACAAGCCTCCACGCCTGTGAAATCAGTGTTGAGTTAATCGAAAGCTGTACCATCCGCTTTGAATAAAATATGTGAAATACCACATCCACCCGATTTATCGTACGACCATGTTCCCTCCGTCGAAGAAATTATCGAGGTTGCCGAAGAACCGCTCGTGACATCTATTCGACATATGCTTCAAAGGGTGGCACCCAGTTGGACACGGCTCAATTGGACATAAGCCACTCACAGCGCTTGAGACTACAAAGCTCATAAGCACCGGTCGCTGTGATTGGTGGTGTCCAATCGAGCCGTGGTCAATCGGGATCACCCTTGCTTCAAACATCCGAGGGTCAGGAAAAGCTGCAAGCAAACTATGGTCCGTTGGGACAGAAATATCTGAAAGCAATTTTGAGTGGCAAGAAAGCTGTCAACATAGTCGTGTACGGAGTTTATTTCAGCGATGAGGGAACGATGCTCGGTGATAAACGTATCACCTTGCACAAAAACGATGATATAATTATAGATGGGAAAAGATATGATGGAACAGCGGGCCTGTACGAGTTAATTTTCATGAAATTTTCCAACGAAAGTATCTGTACGGATGATGACGTACAGACCTACAGAAGCATTCTGCTTACGACAAACGTTCACAGGCACGGTCATAGCCCGAGTAATCAAGTAATGGGTAGTAAGGGATACAAGAATAAGAACATAATAGCGCCATTGGTTTCGGATAAAAAAGTTGGAACGGGAATAAGCAAAAGAGTGGATTTACCGCGTACGATAACACTAAACGATAACAAGATCAACTATATCCATTGGGACGATCCCAACGAAATTGTGGATCGTCTTCGATTGCTCGAGGCCTCGCGTCAGGCTGGTCACAATGGTCACGATAACGAGATTCTATCTATTATCGAAGAGCTTCGCGAAGCCGGTCTGATTATAAATTGACCTCTACACATATCGTTCAGTCGACATCGCAATGCCGATCAACAAGTTTGGACTATCGCTTGGAGGAGGAGAAAGCGAATCGCACTATTAGTGGCGTGAATTGCTCCGAAATTACATGCGCAATAACGCTCTTTGCATAGTCGCAGCCGACTTTGACGCAAAGTCGCGCAAAATTCGACGAATAGCGCTACCGGTGGATGATACTGACGCAACAAACAAACGATACGTGCAACAGAGTGTTCAAGATTTGAAAGATCGTCTGAACGAAGTCGAGATGGAGATTGCAACTTTACAAAATAATGTGCTAGTTACGCTAAACGAACTTGAAAAGGCGATTCGAGAAATGCATCGTTCCGAATAATTATTCGCAATGTATGAGAAACGGCTGCTTGTTAATGAATTGCACGTTCCGGCGAGAAGAAATTTACCGCGAAGACACGTCATAGTACATGGATACGACCTGTGGCAGGCGGATGTGATCGAGATGCGTCCATATACGCGATTCAACAGAGGTTACCACTACATTCTCACCGTTATGGATGTGCTGAGTAAGCACTCATGGGCCGTGCCGCTTAAAGCCAAGAGCGGAAACGATGTGACGAATGCGATCGCAAAGATAAAGATCGAGACGATAAAAGTTGTCCGAAAAATCAACCGTACATTGAAGAACGACATGTGGAAACAATTTATGCACAATGGAAATTATAAATGGATTGATATCCTGCCGCGTCTCGTATCAAATTACAACGTGCGCAAGCACGGACTATCGGTATGCATCCCGACGTTACCCTCGCCATCGCCGACAGGCTCTTAACCGCGGTTTACAATCGCGTAAAGATTGCCGCACCCGCGCCG